TTTCTAAATCCAGCTTGAACATCCAGAAGTTCATGGCTCACATTCTGCTGAAGCCTAGCTTGGAGAATTTTGAGCATTACTTTGCTAACTTTTGAGATGAGTGCAATTGTGTGGTAGTTTGAATGTTCTTTGGCATTGCCTTTCTTTGGGATTAGAATGAAAACTGATCTTTTCCAGTTCTGTGGCCACTGCTGAGTATTACAAATTTGCTGGCATATTGAGTAAAACATTTTCACAGCAACATCTTTTCAGATTTGAAATAGCTCAACTGATATTCCATCACCTCCATTAACTTTGTTCGTAGTGATGCTTCCTAAGGTCCACTTGACTTCACATTCCAGGGTGTCTGGCTCTAGGTGGGTGATCACACCCTCATGGTTATCTGGGTCATGAAGATCTTTTTTGTATAGTTCTTCTGTGTCTTCTTGCCACCTCTTCTTAATATCTTCTGCTTCTGTTAGGTCCATGCAATTTCTGTCCTTTATTGTGCCCATCTTTGCATGAAATTTTCCCTTGGTATCTCTAATTTTCTTGAAGAGATCTCTTGTCTTTCCCATTCACTGTTTTCCTCTATTTCTTTGCATTGATCACCAAGGAAGGCTTTCTTATCTCTCTTTGCTGTTCTTTGGAACTCTGCATTCAAATGGGTCTATCTTTCCTTTTCTCCTTTTCCTTTAGCTTCTCTTCTTTTCTCAGCTATTTGTAAGGCTTCCTCAGACAACCACTTTGCCTTTTTGCATTTCTTTGTCTTGGGGATGGTCTCCTGTACAATGTCATGAACCTCCATCCATAGTTCTTCAGGCACTCTATCAGATCTAATCCCTTGAATCTACTTGTCACTTCCACTGTATAATCATGAGGGATTTGATTTAGGCCATACCTGTATTTTGCATGTATGTATGTATACAGCTGATTCACATTCTTGGACAGAAGAAACTAACACAACATTGTAAAGAAATTATACTCCTATTAATATAAAGAAAAAAAACAGCATGATATTGGCAGAAAAGTAGACAAATAGATCAATGGAAAAGAGTTGAGAGCCTAGGAATAAGCCCAAGTATATACAGTCAACTAATATTTGACAAGGAAGCTAAGAATACTCAGTGGAGAAAAGATAGCTTCCCACTAGCTAGCTATTTTACACATGGTAGTGTAAATATGTCTTTACTATTCTCTCAATTCTTTCCACCCTCTCTTTCCCCAGTGTGTCCACTGTTTTGATAACTATAGAGTATAGCTTTATGATCTTCTTTCTCAGGATGTCTTTAGTTACTCAGGGTCTTTGTGGTTCCTTATAAATTTTAAGAGGTTTTTTCTACTACTGTAAAAAAAAATGCTATAGGAATCTTGATAGAGATTGCACTGAATCTATAGACAACTTTTGGTAGTAATGACATTTTAATAAAATTAATTCTTCCAATCCATGAACACATTTCCCATTTATCTGTGTCTTGTTCAATTTCTTTCATCAATGTCTTATATCAATAGCTTTTAGAATAGAGATATTTCATCTTCTTAGTCAAATTTTTCCTAATTATTTTTATTGTTTTTGATGCTATTGTAAATAAGATCAATTTCTTTTATTTCTTTTTCCCAAAATTTGTCATTAGTATATAAAATGCTATTGATTTTTGGAAGTTAATTTTGTCCTGCAAGTTTATTGAATTCATTGATCAGTTCTAATTGCTTTTAGGTTGTTTTCAGGATTTTCTATATCTAAAAATAGAGACCATTTTGCTTCTTCCTTTCCACTTCAGAAACCTTTTCTTCAGAAAACTTCTTTTTCTTGTCTTCTTCTTCTCACCAGGACTTCTAGTGCTATGTTGAAAATGTGTGCTGAGAGTGGCCACTACTACCTTGTTTTGATTTTAGAGGAAAAGTTCTCAACCTTTCACCCTTGAGTACAGTGAAAAGTTGATATGAGCTTGTCATACATGGCCTTTTTATGAGATATATTCTTTCTATGCCTAATTTGTTAGAAGCTTTTATCATAAGAGCATGTTGAATTTTGTCATGCTTTTTCTGCATCTAATGAGATGATCATGTGATTCGTTTTTCATTTTATTAACATGATGTTATCACATTGCTTAATTTGTGTTTATGCTGAACCACCCTTGAATCCCAAGGAAAATCCTATGCTTGATCCTGGTTTATGAAATTTTTAATGTATTGTTGAATTTGTTGCTAATATTTTATTGAGAATTTTTGCATTTATGTTCAATTGACCTGTAATTCTCTTTTTTGTGCCTGTGATATCTTTGTCTGGTTTTGATATCAGGGAGGTGCTGGCCTCATAGAATGAGTTAAGAAGCCTTTCTTATCCTGCAAGATTTTGGAATAGTTTGAATTTGATTTGCTGTACTTTATTGAGAATCTTTGCATTTATATTTATCAGGGATACTGGCCTGTAGTTTTCTTTTCTAGTAGTGTCCTTTTCTGATTTTGTTTTCAGAATGCTGGTCTTATGAAATGAGTTTGGGAGTTTTCCCTCCTCTTCAACTTTTTTGAAAGAGTTTAAGAAGGCCTGGGGTTAATTCTTATTTAAAATATTTGGCAAAAATTTACTAGTGAAACCATCTGGTCCTAGACTTTTCTTCATTGATAGAATTTTGATTACTGATTCAATCTCCTTACTAGTAATTGATCTATTCAGATTTTCTATTTTTTCCTGATCCAGTCTTGAATTATAAGTTATGCTCCCAAGAATTTTTCAATTTCTTCTAGGTTGTAGTTTGTTGGTCTAGTTCATTCACAGTAGCCTCTTATAATTCTTAGAATTTCTGTGGTATCCATTCTAATGTCCCATTTTTTATTTACAATTTTATTGATTTGATCTCTTTTGTGTGTCCCTTGGTGAGTCTAGCTAAGGATTTATTAATTTATTTTTTCAAAGAACTTTGTTTGGTTAATATTTTCTATTTTCCTGTTCATTTCTTTCTGTTCTAATCTTTATTATTTTCTTTCTTCTGGTAACTTTGGGCTCAGTTTGTTCTTTTTCCAGTTTCTGAAGGGGGAGAGTGAGGTTGTTTAAATGGAATCTTTCTTGCTTTGTAATGTAGGCATTTATTGCTGATATTCTCCCTTAGAACTTCTTTGGCTCATCCCACAAGTTCTGTCATATCCTAACTGTTTAACATACGTAAACAGTACTACCATTTGTACTTTTCACATTCTTTCTCAAATGTTTCACTGATGAAGATTTTAATGTTATGTCCCTACTCCTATTTTTTCCATAGTCCCTGTGATTTTGTTATTTTATCTTACATACTGTGATGATTTTTAGAATATGTCTCATCATAGCAGAAAGAATTTTACTCAGTGGACTTGTGGTAGATGGTGAATCTTTTTCATTTCCATGGATACTAAAGGCTTCTGAAATTGTAGGCACCACTGTTAGTCAGCAAATGCTGTCTGGGTGGCAGTTTGGGCCAGCCGTTTTGTCCCACAATTAAGAGCAATAAATATTTATTTATTGACAATTAACTACCAGCTATTATGATAAGTGGTGGTTATATTGAGGCTAATAAGGAATACTGCCTGTAGCTCTTTCAGTCTAGTGGAGGAAAGAAAGACAAATAATTACAATAGAGAGGAACTGATGCTATTAAAGAATAAAGAAAGCGAGGTCTTTTCTCTCCAGACATCAGTGAGTCAGCAAAGACCTCCCAGAGAAAGTTTCCTCTAATCCAGACCTTTCAGTGCCAAAAGTCAGACTCTTTCATCATTGTCCCCATCTCTGCCTCTTTACTCTCTTCCCTGAGTTACCCCGGCTACCAGAGGCAGAACAAGGAAGAGTTAACATGGCCCAGGTGGGAGGGGTAAGGGCCCTGAGGGAAGCAGGTACAGCAGCCACATAAAGGGCCCCACAGGCATCAGTCAAGGTGAAGAGAAGCTGCAAACACTTGGTGCTTAGGACCTTTCCTCAGTCAAGTCTTCTGGGGCTTTTTTCCTCCTTCATTTATCCATCCATCCTTTATTAAGTTTCTGCTGTGGGCTAGGTTCTGGGAGAAACTGGTTCTACTCATCCTGCCTCCTCTAACACCAAAGATACTTCTTCCTCCTCTGGCTGCTAGTCTGTGTTGAGTGCCGTTTCCTCCCCTTCTGTAACCTGCTCTGCCTCTGGCACCCCAGGAATGAGACTCAATTCTGGAATGTGACCCCCCTTCTGGAATGTGAAGGAGGAAAGGAGACAGAGAAGTTCCTTTCTTTGCTGCCATCTCTATTTCTCCGTTGCTTCCCACGCCCAAGGTCAATTCTCCAGCCCGTGTTCAAGTTCACTACTTCAGCATGGAGTGAAGAATAACAGAAGAACCCCAACACCCCAAAAACCCACCAGGTTTTCTCCTATCATATCAGCCTTCCTACTTTTCTCCAGGTCCCTTCTGCCTCCTCCTCCTGTTTTCTCCCTTTCTCTCCACTTTCTTCCTTTCCTCTTGGAGGGCTGGTGCCCAGAATGTTAAAGCTGGGCAACACGTAAGATCATTGTGCCCACCCCTGCTGTGGAGCTGAGGAAGCCGGGCCCAGGAGTTCTGCCTAAGATACAGTCAGGAACAGGACCAGCCTGAGGCCTGATCCCCACCCAGCACTGGCTTTCTCTCCATCTACAGAGCCTAAGACCGACTCTACTTGGACTCTGAGGAAGAAAAAATTCATCTCAGCTCCACTTTCAGCTAAGCCCCAAGTGGAGGGCTCCAGCTATTCTAGCACGGCAGCAGTGACACCCCCACTTCACTTCCACTGTTACCCTTTGCTCCCCCAACACTCACGGACTTTCAGGCAAAGGGATTCTTCCACCCAAGCTATGGTTATGACCTTGATTATCCAAGGTTATATCCATATAATCCCAATCAAAGGTTATACCACTGCCTCCCAGCCCTGCATGATTCCTACACATACATGGGTGGATCTGTGCCACTGACACCCCCAAAATCTCCCCCTTTGTCCTTCGCCCATCATGAGTCATGCTTCCATGAGCCTGAAAGCTCTGACCCCACAGGATGACAGAAGCTCCACAGCCCAACGCTACCTTCTCACACCCAACCTTCTTCATAATGACTGGCATCCCAGGGCTAGGGGGTGCACAGGCCTGGCTGACACTGGTCTTTGGGCCCATGTATCTGCTTTCCCTGCTGGGGAATGGAGCACTGCTGGCAGTGGTGCAGACAGACTCCACACTGCATCAGCCCATGTTTCTGCTCCTGGCCACCCTGGCAGCCACAGATCTGAGCTTAGCCACATCGATAGCTCCAGGGCTGCTGGCTGTGCTGTGGCTCGGGCCCCGGCCTGTGCCATACGCTGCCTGCCTGGTGCAGATGTTCTTTGTTCATGCACTGACAGCTGTGGAATCCGGTGTACTGTTGGCCATGGCCTGTGACCGTGCTGTGGCAGTCGGGCGTCCATTGCACTACCCCATCCTAGTCACCAAAGCCCGTGTGGGGTATGCAGCTCTGGCACTGGCACTAAAAGCTGTGGCTATTGTTGTGCCTTTCCCTCTGCTGGTTGCACGGTTTGAGCACTTCCAAGCCCAGACCATAGACCATGCCTACTGTGCACACATGGCAGTGGTGGAGCTGGTGGTGGGTAACACACGAGCCAACAACTTATACGGGCTGGTGCTTTCGTTGGCTGTGTCAGGTATAGATATTCTAGGCATCACGGGCTCCTATGGGCTCATCGCCCACACGGTGCTGCAGCTGCCTACCCAGGAAGCCCGTGCCAAGGCCTTTGGTACCTGCAGTTCCCACATCTGTGTCATTCTAGCCTTCTATGTGCCTGGTCTCTTCTCCTACCTCACACACCGCTTTGGTCGTCACACCGTCCCCAAGCCTGTGCACATCCTTCTCTCTAACATCTATTTGCTGCTGCCACCTGCCCTTAACCCTCTCATCTATGGGGCCCGCACCAAGCAGATTAGGGACCGGCTCCTAGAAATCTTCACACTCAAGAAAAGCCAGTTCTAAGGGAGCCTGAGGGTGGGAGAGGGGGTACATTCAGAGGAGTCGGGTCTGGAGGTGTGGATGATGTCATCTTTGTCCCATGATCTGCGTATGACTGTGACAACCACTCAACAGATATTTGCTGTGAAGTCTCTGTACCAGTGGGATCTGTAGACTGGTCTAGCCATGCATCCTGCTTGGGAAGAGATAGGAGATAGGCAAACATGTTGCCATGCAGAGGAGATAAGAAAAGGTGCCAGGGAATTATCATGGGACAATACATATGATTTAACTTAAAACCACCCTCCTCCTTCTCCCCTAACTCTGCTCCATCATTTTAACCTAAATCTGCCCACGTCCCCACACCAAAGCTTCTCTACAGATCCTGGACCCAAGGGTCTGGAAAGAGTGACTCAGCCTCCAGATTCAAGTGCTTTGGGCAGCTGTCTGAGATTATAGCCCTCCCTCTATGCCTGGAGCCTGATTCTGTTTTCAGTCTACCCTTCGGGAAGGAGTTAAGCAGGCTTATTCCACTTTCTGATAATTGGGATAAGGTGCCCTGGATTCCCAAATTTTTCCAAGACTGTGATCCTGAAGACATTCTCAATTCAGAGAACCTTCTTGGTCTCTATATGTAAACCACCATTCCCCCTACCCTCACTGCCCTGCCAAAGTCTCAGATATTGATGACTAGAACTTCTCTCCCTGGGCCTATAGCTTCAGGGGTCAGGGGTTCAACTGAAAGAAATTTTGATAGCCCAGAAAATCATTGTAACCACTTCACCTGTTTGCCAGAGATCATTATCTTCTCTTACCAACATGCCCTTTTGTGCATCCTCAAACAAGAATATACAATTCTCAAATAAAATTCTCATCAGCACCCCTATTTGTCCTGGCCAGCATCATGAGCACATGATGTTGGTGCAGCATGATGAAACAGGAATATTTCACACTGCTGTGGCTACGGAGAACAGAAATATTAAACAGGAAGTGTCATGGTGTTGCCTAACATGGGATTCACTTTCTGCTAATTAAAAAAAAAAAAACTCCACACTGCAAGGACCTTGCACAGAAAGATCTTTCAAGCCAGCAATAAGTCTGGGTGCATCGTCAGTCATGTATTCAGTTGTGTCTAACTCTGTGACCCCAGGCACTCCAGCCCATCAGGCTCTTCCGTCCATGGGCTTTCCCAGGCAAGAATACTGGAGTGGGTTACCATTTCCTCCTCCAGGGGATCTTCCCTACCCATCTCCTGCATTGCAGGAGGATTCTTTACTGCTGAGCCACCAGGGAAGCCCAGCGTTAAGTCTAGAATGAGTATATTCTCACATAAAAGGTAGCGAGACACTGTTACATGGTCAGAGAAAGCTGCGGGCTGCACAGCCAGACCTAAGCTTCTCCGGGAAAATGATCATAACAGTCGGTACTGGAGTTAATCACAAAGACCTGAAGCGGGTGTAGTCAGACCACTCAGCACAGGCAGCTGGACCGAGCACCATGGGATGCCACACGGGAGGCTGTGGATCTGAAAAAAAGCAAGTGATGCCATCTCCAGGTCCTCATCAACAAGTAACTACAGAGATAGCCCAGAAGCTGTGTGATTTTCAGAGTGTTGTCACACTGAAGCCAAGTGGACAGGGAGCAAATCCAGTTTTTCTCAGTCCAAGTGTAGACTCCGTCATTCTCAAGGCTAACCTTTTTCATGAAGTTCTGAGGTAAAAAACCATCCACGCAATGATTTTGCAGATAACTTTTATAAAATTCTAACCCTAATGGGTCATCAGTCTTTTAAGATGTACACATCTTTCTCTTAGTGAAACCTCCTCAAAAAATGTATATTGACAAAATAATTAGAGATGTGGACAAACATGTATGCAGTAAGATATTTATTACAACATTATTATAAAGAAATATAAAGAATTGTGACAGTCCTGTGTCACACACACACACACACACGCGCGCGCGCACACACACACACACACACACACATACACCTTCCCCATCTGGTACATGAAAAGGGAAATCATATGCAGCCAATGTTCAAAAGCAATGAATCCTGTTCCCCGCCCACCACAGGAAGCCTCTCTTCTAAGGCACCTTCACTCTGTGGTTGTGCACAACTTCCAAGGCAGCTGAGTCCAAAGCCGTACATTGTCCACTGCAAGTCAAAAAGTCCACCCTCTTGGACATTTGTATTTTGTTTTGGATTGAGATTGCATACATACCTACCATGTGGTGTGTTTAGAAGGCTTTTCTGGCACACTTACTCCTCCACAACAACCTGAGAACAATTATAAGCCCATAATCCCTTATCTATAATTCCAAAATAAAATCTCTGAAGAAACAATAGCTTGTTCATAACTTTGACCCAAAATCTGGCCTGACCCGTCACGATCATATTTATAATATTTATTTATCTCAGTATGAATATTCATATATTTAACTACAGAAACACTGATAGATTTGATTACAGCAGGGCACCGCCCTGAATCTCACTGGGGTATTCCTTTACGTATCATAAAGGCACTATATTCCCTTTCTAAAATCTGAATCATCCTGAATTCCAAAATATACCCATCCCAAGAGATTTCAAATAAGGGATTAGGGACCTGTAGGATTATCCCTGTAGCCCAAGAGAAGTGAAGAGACCTGTTAGGACTCTGTCACTCTAAAGTCTTTGTTATCAACACCATTCTACACTACCCTAGAAGTTCCTGCAGAAAGCAGCATTGTTCTCTGGATAACAGCCCCCACCTATTTGTTCCCCTCATGCTCTCCACTCTGGTCACCCCTTAAATACACTGATGAGCTGTGCCCCTTTCCCAAGGGAGACCACAGAAGGTGCTACAATGGTGGAAAAACCCATAAAAACAGGATAAGGCCCAAACAGCCCAGTCCTTGGGCTCATCAATTCCACCCAGAACTCAGCTGTCATCTCTTGCCCTTCAACAATTTTCAGTCTCAGATTCTATGTGCCAAAGGGAAAGATAGATTTACTTAGGGTAGTGCAATAAGGGATTAGGGAGTCTGGAGAATCATGGTAATCAGACAACAAGAGAGAGAAGACAGAGGTGTAGGCTTCTGGCCAAGGAGTTGAACTGTAACCCAATTTCCCCTCTGAGCCACCCCCCCCCCCGCCACTATGAACTAAAATCTGCAGAGAGCCTCATCTGATTTCACCAACAGCACATCATACCTGCACCTGCTTCATCCACCTGCTTCTCAAGATGTGTGTCACTCCCTGCCTCTGTCTCCCAGCAGCTCTCACTGTCTCTGTCCCTCTGCATCTGTCTCCTTGCACTGATGGCCAGCCTTCCCCTATGCATCTTGTCCTTGTCTCCTCTCTCCCTCTATCTACCTCACTCAGAATTCCTTTCTAAGAAAAAAGAGGTGCCAACTATACTTTACAAGGTGACCTCTCCTCATCACCCATAATTAAAAATGTGCCAAAGGGGCATCAGAAGGAAGAGAGACTTGATTTCACGTAACAAGAAACTTGGGATTTCTGGTTTGGTCTACTGCATCTCTTCTCTCATCCTACCCATTTCCTTTTCACCACACTGCATTGTACGTCAACCTGCACACAGCTCTCCCAACACACTCAGGTGAGCAGAAGGAACATGTTGATCTCTCCCTTCACCAAAAAGAACTACTGGTTAATGGTTAAAGCTGGAGTCAGGCAGGCATGGACTTGAATCCCAGATCCTCCAATAACTCACTGTACGCCTTGCATTAAATTTATTTAACCTCTCTGAGCCTGTTAATTCACCCATAAAATAGAAATGACACTATTTACTTCAAGGATTACTAAAAGGATTCACTAAGATAATTCATCTGAAGTGTTTGGAATAGTCTCTAACACAATTTTAACAAACATTTGAATATTAATTCTTCTCCTGGACCATGACGCATGCTCACTGTCAAACCTTTGCTCAAAGACCTGATATCCTAGCCCTGTCTAGGAAGAGCAACCCTCTCCTGTGGCCAGTCACTGCTCCTCTAGGAAACTTTTCCTGGCAACACTCTCTCCCACCTTGGTAGGACCCTTCCCAGTGCCCCATACTTGTATCACCTCAGCCAGCTCAGACAATGGCCAACTTTGTGGGGTAACCCTACATGCTGGGGAGGGATAGGGTAGGATGCACCCCACATGCTAGGGGTCTTCATAGGCACACAGGAGTGGAGTGGGAAAGTAGCTACTAGCAAGACTCTCTAGAGTGGTTCTTCTCCAGGGGAAAAAACCACTCTTCTCCAGCAAAACAACAGGTTGAGATTTTTGGGCAGAGAAACAAGTGAAAACGAAAGATTAGGGCCATAAAGAGTATCCACCAGATACAAAGCAGCCTAGGAAAGGGAACAGAGGATGAAGAAAATTTTTCTCAAATTTACCTGGGAAATTCTGGCTTCCAGAAAATTCTCTCCAGTTACTAAGGCAACATTACCCCAATTCGATTCTTATCCTCCACACTGTCACTGCTCAGCTTGGCAACCTCCTACACATACCTGGTTTTTAATGCAATTGTAACCCACTCATTAATAATGGGTTTCAACCTAGGCTGCACATTAGAATTGCCTGGGAGCTTTTAGAATTCCTGATGCCAAGGCATATTCCTGACCAATTAAATCAAAATCCTTGGGCATAGGATCCAGGTACTAGTAATTTCTAAAGCTTTCACTTAGTTCCAAAGTACAGCCAAGGTTCAGAACCACTGCTTTGTTCTCAGTTTAAGTCCTGATCTGTGCTTCTCCATGTCTTTCAAGACCCCAATCCAACCTCACAAAGAAGTTATTTGCAACTGACAACAGCATTGCAAATTGCTTTAAGGAGGAAAGGCTTGATCCTGTTTCCTTAAAGAATTCAGACCAAGAACTATACACACACATAAACACATCCTAATGGAAACCTCAATCTTCCTCCCCCACTAAAGCAGGAGAATGAACGGGTTGACTAAAAAGTATGCACTCAGGTTGTGGGTACAGTGAGGTTATGAAAGTGACTGCCCTCTCCGCACCCCAGGCCCCAACACCCAGCAGGACCTCTATGACCTCATGCTGCAGTAGGTCAGAGTCCAGCACCTGGGGCCTCACCTCCCTGGGCAGCTTGGGGGTCCTGCAGCAGCCACTGCCCTGCCTAACCCCTCCCATACCCCATCATGTTGGTTGGTACCCCCCACCTGCTGACACTGGATGAAGCTGATGCCACCTGGACTCTCATCAAAGATAAGGTAGGAAAAGAGGGCAAAAGAGGAAACAACATAGTGTGACCTACATAGGTCTCAGCAGCTTGTAAGTAGGAAGAGGTTGGAAGGGTGAAGACAATAACAACTAGTATTCACTCAGTGCTGTCTTCTGTGTAAGGTACTGAACTAAGTGTCCAATTTGATTACAATTGCAAATGGATTACATTACAATGGATGGGGAGCTATGAGAGTAGGAAGAAGTGCTATGCTGGGGATAGACTTAGAAGGTCAGAAAGGCTTCCTGGAGTGAGTAACATTCTAGCTCTACAAGTAGAAGTTATTCACATGAAGGGAAGAGGAATACCTGGCACATAAATAGTGTGTAAGAAACACCTAAATGGGGGGAGGGGGGCGGGAGTGAGTGAACAGTGTACTAACTAAAGGTAGAATATGTGCAAACGTCAAGAAAGGGAAAAGAAAAATGTGTATTAGTGAACTACAAATAGTCCTCTGGAACAGAGTTCAAAGAAGCAGTGATGAAAATGAGGAAGAAGAGGAACAGGGGATAATGGTGAAAGGCCTTTTACATTTTCTAAAGAACCTGAACTTTACCTTTGGCCTCTTCACAGATATTCCCTCCAGTTTAACTTCCACAGAATGAGAAACTTGGGTTTTGAACCAAAATATACAGATTTTCAGAAGCAGGCAGATTTCAGCTCTATCTGAGTTGCCGGTGTCCAAAAAACCACACCAAATTTAGATGGCCACAATTTCTGAGATTAGAAAATTTAGGGATCAATTCTGGTCATGTTATCTGAATTAAAGTGAATTTGAAGCCTTTGCAGAAGGCAACCCACCAAGTTTAAAACAATCATCTTGAAGTGCCCAGTAAACTCAAAGCAGCCTTAATGGCACGTAACTCCCATTTGAAATGGAGTACTTGCTCACCACAGAGGTCAGCTTCCCAGGCAGAAAGAGAAGAGTCAAGGTCCTCCCAAGAATGAGAGCAACTAGCCTCAGCAATGGGAAAGGATGGTCCGGATCAGTTGGGGTGAAGTAAATGAGCTCTTTAACTATCAGAAAGCTACACCACCTCTGAGAATCAGAAAAACTCCCTGTCCTATTTAAATGAAAAATTGTCAGGAAAGTCAGGGTAGAGACATACAGGATAAATCACTGGTGATACGTGACAAATTCAAGGTTTGAGTGACCTGATTTCCTCTCTCCAGAACTGCTGAGTTAGTGGGCACTTGTAGAACATCTCACTAAACAGGATGTGGCTCAAGGGCTCCCTATTCAGAATTCAAACCACCAAGGTACCTCCAGGAAGATAATCTTCCACCATCCCTTTCATGGGCTGCCCCTGGGAGAGGTTAAATTTGCAGGCCTCTAAGTCCTCAGAACTTCCACCCAGAAGTACAGTGGAAGCAGGCAGTGGTCTCAAATGGTGACTCTGGCAAGAACACACTCACCCTAACACAGAGCTGAGCACTTTATTATTCCTACTTTAGGATAACATTGGGGCCCTCAGAGTAAGAATAAGGGCCTAATAAATTTCCATGGCAAAAACCAAGCACAAAAAGGCCAAGACAAGAAGGACCAAACCAAGAGGAACTGTGATCCATAAAAGCCTATTGGAACCAGTATTACAAACATGAGGCCTCAAATCCACACAAGAACTATCTCCTTCAGCTCAGGCAGAAGGTGTATACTAAGGGGTTACAGACATAGTATAATAAGCATGAACTTCCAAACCTATTTGTGTATCCACTCTTGGTTAATAACAGCACCCATCTAACCAATCACCTAAGAATAATCGTTGAGGATGCCTTTTCCCTCACCCCTTAAGTGACCAAGTCCTACTAATTCTATAACCTAAGTATCTTCCCCCAGGGTTTTACTTCAGGGCCTTACCATGTCTTAACTGGAATTTTACAATGCTCTTAACTGACTTTTCTCTATTTTGTGCCTTCTTAGACAAAATTAACTTTCTAAAATGCCTACCTGAATCGTGCCCCTCCTAAGCAGAGCCCTTCAAGTGGCTTCCCACTGTCCTCGGGATAAAATTCCCATTAGCACACACGTAAGGCCTTGAATAACTGAGCTCCTGTATCCCGTCCCTCTCCATACCCCAGACTTAACATGAAATTATCTGTTCCTGACTATGCCCCTCTTAGTTTCTAAGTTCAAGCTTTTTTCACTGGCTGTTCCCTCTGCCTGGACTGACCATTCTCTTAGCTTACTAATTCCCTCAAAGCTAAAGTATTACCACCTAGAAACTATCTTTGATCCTCTTCAATCAAAGACAAAGGCTGTTAAATCATCTGCTCTGCAGTTTGCTCTCTGAGCTGTTTTAGGACAAGGACAAAGTCTCTTGTATCTAGCAGAGTAGCACACAGCAGACATTCAGGTTTTGCTACAGGGAAGAACTGGGAGACAAGCAAGAAGCACCACGCTGTGAGCACGTTGTGGAGTATAAAGAACAGTGACAGTGGGAGGATCCATCTAGAGCAGGCTACCAGGTTAACTAACTCCTAACCTGGCCCCAACTCAGTCCCTGACCTATATACTGACTGCCCGCAGGTTATCGAGGAGCGCTTTGGGCCCAATGTAGTGGCAGTACCTTTTCTGTCTGATGCAGCCTTCTATGATCTACTGGGTGTTCTAGTCAAACAGTCCCGCCCAGCCCACAGCCGCCTGGCTCTGCCAGGTCGGCAGGGCCGGCGGGCACTACAACCAGTGGGGCTGCTACCAAATCTCTTGGAACAGGCAGGCTCTGAGGGTGCCTTCGCCCACTGCACTCGAGAATACTCACCAAACAGCCGAGCAGAGATAACCTATGAAGAAATGCGACTGCTGGATGGGCAGCCCTGCCGGATCCGCTTACATATGGGGGGTCTACGCAAGAAGATGGCCTTCCTGCTGCTGCCACCAGGGCAGGTGAGCCTACAGCAGTCTCTTCCCTGGCTCCGAAGCACCCACAGCATCTACATCATCTACCAGGTCTTCTCCTGCTCCTGGCTACAGCTGGGGCTGTTGCCAACAGCCCGTGAGCCCCAGCTGCTCCGGTTACAACGATCACTGCCTATTGCCTTCTCCTGCCTCAAGTTTTCACTGCAACCCAAGGGAGTGCTGGGACCACAAAAGCCCCTGATCAAAGACCCACTGCCCCAAGGGGCCAGCTGGGCCAGACCCAACCTCAGCATCATGCCACCATCGGCCCCTACATCAGCCTCTGATGACATCCCCGAAGCTGCTGATGTGCCCCCACCTGTCCCAGCCCCACCTACGCCACCTCCCCAAGAAGGGCCAGAGGGCAGACCAACCAGATTCTCCTACAAGGGTCGAAACCCCTTCCGAAGGGGGCCCCAGATGCTGTCAGGTACTGCTAGAGGAAATGAAGATGAGAGGGCTGGGATATGGTGGAGGGAAAGTGCATGGGGAGTATAGCCCAGGAATGTGTGGGCCACACGTAACTCCACACTGGACCCTGGTCAAAGGGATGGAGCAAGGGAGCCAGGGGAGGGTGAGATGGAAGCATGGTCCTGGTGAGGGGGTGGGTACAGCACAGAAGACCAGCGGGAGGGACCAGGGAGGCAGAAAGACCAGGGCACGAGTCAAGCTGTGACTATCCCCAACCCTGGCAGAGAACTGGCTCTTCAGCCCCCGCAGCCCCCCACCAGGAGCCCAGGGTGGGGGCCCCGGGGACCCCGACCGGCACTCCATGTCCCTGCCCCTGCTGCAGGGTCTATCCTCGGAGTTCGACAGCGACGAATGAAGCTGAGGCGAAAGATGCAGGGGGCAAGGCCCCCAAGATCTGACATGGGGTACTGGTCCCCAATAAACATCAACTGCTGCTCCCCCAAACATCCTGGGCCCATGCTGCTTCTTCCTGTGGGGGTCTGGAGGAGGAAAAGTCCCAGCTTTTTTCTCTAGGTTTCCTGTCCCCTCACCCTCTAAAGGCATAAGAGGTACCTTGAAACCTTGGTATCGTGTCCTCACCAGAGAGAAAACACCCTGACCACTTCCCCATCTGTTTACAACTTTCTTGGAGCCCCAGCCCCACAGATAAAGGGTGGGAAAGAAAAATGAGCACAGAATAGAGATTTCCCTTTTATACATATTGCAACAAGTTCTCCAGAAAACATTCATCAGAAATAAATTAAAAAGTCCTCTTGCCACTGCCTCCAAACATAAAAAAGGAGCCTACACCCTGGCCCCAGCCCAGGCCACCCAAGGCCCTGATTGTCCATGGAAGAAAGTTAAGGATTGAGGGGCCCGAAGCCTGAGACAGGAGGGCCAGACCCCTCCTCAGAAGTATCCAACAAGAAAGGTGAGGTGACAGCGTGCGCCTGGGAGATGGCAGCCAACTCCTTGAGAAATTCAGGGAAAATGACTGCACAGTAGACAGCATTCTTGACTCGCAGAGCCTCACCTTGGCGCTCAGGGGCCCCACCCCGGGGGGGTAGGACTGGTGTCGAAGCCCCAGGGGAGCCCCCACCTAGGCCAAGTCCTGCGCCACCGTCTCTCCCAGGCTGGAGAACCATCTGTGCCGCCTGCCGAGCCCTGGTTGGACTGTGTGCATGCCGCAGGAGTAGCTCCCCCAAGGACGGCCTCCGGCTCTTCACTGGGAACAAACAGGAGTGTCGGGAAGGTGCTGAGGCCAGGCAGAATCCCTTGGCCTGGGAGAGGAGAGTTCCCCACCCCACCCAACCCCTACCTCCCAGGTTCATGAACTTCTCAACTAGGACTCTTAACACCTAAGTGCTGCCTGCTCAGCCTCCTTCCCTCCATCCAGCCTTCCCACCAGTCAACCACCATGCTCAGTCTTCAGTCAGTCAACCCTTCAGACACTTCATTCCCAGACAGAACCCCTCCTTTCTCCAGGTCCCTTTACCTTGAGGGATTCTCTTACTGCTCCTCCCTTTCCAATCACTATTCTACATCACTAAGCTCTTCCTCCCCAGTCTGTAACATGCCCTTACTTCCTGCTGCCCAGCGCCCTCCTGTACTAGAATCAAACACTTCCCCTTTCCCCCTGCCCATCTATGACACCTCAGCCACATCCTCTGCTCCTTCAATACCCACAGAGGCTATATATGCAATCAGAGTTCAGTGACTTTATCAGATCTGTCACACACCACTGTCCCTCCAAGATCTACTCTCCTGTGCTACCACTTGGCCTTCCACCAATTCCTTTCCTAGAACCACCAAAGCTACCCTCCCACTGGTTGTGGCCAGACAACTTCATGTCAGTTCAAATGAACCACTGAAAATACTGCCTTCTCTCTTCTAACTTCCTGCTGAGACTCCTGGCCCTGGATGTATTCTTGTCCCTGTCCAAGACCTAGGGCCTAGACTCTGGGGATCTAGTCTCCAGATCATGATATCATTCCCATTCTCTCCCTCTAATACTGGCGACAGAGATACACTAAACAGATAATTAAATGTGGCTTTCAGAGCCCATTACAACCAGGTTCACACACTTCTTCCCACCTCTTCTAGAGACTCTACAGAGCCCTCAGCTTTGGCACCCACATCTATCTGCTCCCCCTGGAACCTTCCAGGCTCTTCTCATGCTTCTGTAGCCCCTTCTGCCTTAATTTTGTTCTCCTTGATGTTTTCATCCCTGCCCTAATTCCCCTATACCCAACTTTCCTCTAATTTGGCCTCCACTAACTTCCCATTTTACTGCCCTATCACGATGCATTTCAATAACTTGTTCTCACGTCTTCTCCTCAAACATTAATCTGTGAGTTTAAGGGCTTGCACTATGTCTTATTTACCCCTATATCCCTAGACCCCTCTACAGTGAACATAGTACCAGGACTGTGGAAGCAAGATTACTTCCTGGCACTAGACCATGAGGAAATCATACTAAGAAACTTCAACTGGGCCTTCACAGCTCTATAATAATCCTCCTGGTACTCTCTTCCCAACCTACACACTTTCCTCTGAAAGCCTTCATCTCACCTCTGCTTTCTTGCTCAGCACATTTTTCTGCTTCCTACTTAGATTAGCAAATAAAGGATGACTTCAATTCCCTAAAATTTCCCCTACATCTCAAAACTCCACTGGTACATATCATTTCCTCCTTTGATCTCTCATTTGCCTCAAAAGGGGGAAAAAAATTTCCCTGGTGCTCTGGATCCTACTTACTTCCACCACTTTTGGGACCTTGCTCCCTCAGTTATGACAGTCCTCTAGTCCCTGTCTAGATTATCAGCTTTTTGAAAATAAGTATCTCATCTTGTACCTCCATGAGTCCCCTGTACCAAAGACAACACCACATGGCAAGCACCCAGATGTACTAAGATGTAGCACTTAGATGTGTGCTAAGTCACTTCAGTCATGTCTAACTCTCTGCAACTCTATGGACTGTAGACCGCCAGGCTCCTCTGTCCAAGGGATTATCCAGGCAGGAATACTGGAGTAGACTGCCATACCTCTTTCAGGGGATCTTCCTGACCCACGGATTGAACTCGCATGTCTTATGCCCCCTGCATTGGCAGGCAGGTTCTTTACCACTAGCACTACCTGGGAAGCTCAAGCACTCAGATACTTGCTGATAAAAGATCTAAATTTAAAACATCATATATAACTCTTCCTTCTTTCTTATACCTCACAACTACTTACCAAACTGCCAATACTTCTTTCCCACTTCCACCTTATCAAAGTCTTCCTATTTCTACTGTTCTAATTCAAGCCTCACAGGTCACATCTGCATTATGGCAGATGCTTCCTGATTGCTCTTCTGACTCCATCTTTTCCTAACTCCAATGCACCTAGCCCATGAAACTTACATACTTATCTCTCCACTCCCACATATAGAACCTACAATTGGTATCTCACTGCCTAAAAGTTTACAACTTCCACATATCCCAACTTCTACTCTGAGAACCTTCTGCTGTGAGGAAATCTTCCCAGCCTTACTACCAACTATTCCACCACCTTTCAAATTCCATGCTCCAGCTAAACAGTTCATGCTATCTCCTGAACAAATAATAAAAGTCATCCCACTTCTTTGCCACCCAAGTCCTACCCATGTCTCAAGACCCGTGTCAAATGTCATATCCTCCACCAAGCTTTACCAATATCGAAACCAGAAAAAAACCAATCTCAACCTAGAAACTATTCTGTCCCCTTACCTATCCCAAGCTTCTAGAGTAGTTTTTGCTGATACTGTTGATTTGGTTCTCAGTGGACACAACTATTTTTCCTCTGACCAGAAACTTGAAGACAAAATCAAGATTCTACTCTCTGCAACTCTCCAGTTCCCACCACAAGGCTTCAACCTTAGTGAGAATTCAATTAACCTGAGCTAGTTAGTTGCCTAGGGAGGACAGGGAGGTGGTGGCAGAGTAGACCTCACCTAGGGAATCAGATCGGCGGGGGGCAGGTCCTGCTGCAGGGCCCTCGGTCCAGTCCAACTTGCCACGGGCAATGAGGTACTTCTTGGCTTTGGATAGCAGTGCTGGGAAGTCCTCCTGGGAGGCTGCAAAGCTCTCAATCTTATTCTTCACAGAGCCCAGCACCTATGAAGCACAACTTCATGACATTTCTGGGTGGCTGCAGACTGACATAGTCCTTTCTAGACCCACCAGGCCTGTTCCCAGCACCCCCAAGGCCACTCCAGCTGTGGGCCTGGCCCACCGTGGAGCCTGGACGCACCCATGCACGCATGCATCGCACACCTGCAGCAGGGACTTGACACTGGGCTGGAAGACCATGTTGGTGTTGAGCAGGAAAGAGCGGAGCAGGGGCTGGGGGTGACAGGCCAGCTGGGCCACCAGCCCCGTCAGCAGGAAGTTGACATAGACGGAGTTCTGCAGCATATTCTCGAGTTTGGCAAAGAGCACAGCCATGAAGGGGCCTGGGGAGGTGGGCACAAGGATACAAGGCCTGAACACAGTGCACATCACACACATTCCTCCCCAAAACGAGATCCCCTACTAGGTGAAAATTACTTGTATTTCAGTCTCTGGGAATGTTTAAATATCCTGCGAACACCTATTCTGGACAAAATAAAATAGCAGATACCACATGGACCCACAAGAGGGCCAGATGCCAGATTTATACACATTCTAGCTGAAGAGCCAGACCACAGGCTCTGGAATTAGACAGATTCGATTAAATTTGAGCTCTACCATTAACTAGTAAAATTAATAGATGAATCAAAAATCTCCAAGCACAGTTTCCTACTTGTTAAATAAGAAAAACACCCACATCACAAAGTTATTAAGAGGATCAAAGAGAGACTGGTACACAGCATTTAGGTCAAAATCCAGCAAATTTTAAGTATTCAAATAATAACTATAAGCCATATGATATTTCTCAGTTTTTTAAAAAGCTTCACCCAAGAGAACAACTGAAGAAAGAACAAGTGAGTAAGTGATTAGAAAAAAAAGAAGAAATCAAGTTACACACATGACAGAGTATAACACTAGACCTGAGTCAGAAATAAAGCAAGAACGCATAATGAAAGGCAAAGAAGGTGACTATATTGGTCAACTTAAAAGGGGAGAAATCTTTGGAGAACCAAAGAAATAATCAGGTCTGTTCAAGAACTGGGAACAAAAATGGTAAGATAGAATCTGTAGGAAAAAACAGCTTAGTTCAGGGCCAGAGAAAACTGATCCAGGACAGACTCTTTGGTGGAAAAGAGACTAGCAGAAGGGATTAGAATGACCTTCTAGAAGAACTGGCCTCAACTAAGCCAGGTCACCAACACTAGTGCAGTAGAACCATCACATTCTGTCTGGTCAGGGATTTGTGGGGGAAAGGGACTGTGCCTATGAACTGCCGTAGGAATTAAGCCAGGAGAACAATGAAGGGCAAGAGACACTGAATCCTGAAAAAGATCCTAGTATAGTCTTCACACTACACACACACAACTAGCTTTAGCTCTATATCAACTCTTGGTTTAGAAAGGTCCTAAGATACCCCTTGTCATCTCCAGGGGACTTTTTTACAAGACAAAACCTCAGATGAGTTTATGAAGAAGAAAAAAGACAGAGAGCTTCAGTTAACACTTCAAGAAAGTGGTAAAACCTGCACACCACCTTCTAGTGGCATAGAAAAGGAAAGAGCAAAGCAGAGGCTAAGTAAATGAATACACCTCTTCTCTGTAGTCTGCAAGAGTTGTTATTACTCCAGAGCAAAAGGCCTGATGATGTGCAAGCAGCATGGCAGCATATCCCGGGCCCAGAACAGGTACTGATTGTACTGATCAATGCACAATAATCTGACTACAAACAACAGGAAGACATGTGGTGCCTTGGTCAACTATTATATGCCATGCGCCCAAGATAATAATCCTAACCTACCACATGCTGAGTTCTCACAATATACCAGCATCACAGTAAGTAATTTACATGCATCAAAGACATAGACGGGATACTAACTCAAGGAATGTCTAGTCCAAATCACTACACAGCTTCCCAGAAGTGTCTTCCCAATAACCCCCAGGATGGTATATAGAGGAGGGACAAGAGCCAGGTGTGAGCTGGGCTGGGTAAAGCAGGATCAAACAAAAACAAAATGGAGTTAGCCCAGCCACTCAGGCCAGGTCTAGCCCCAGGGACTTTGGAAGAAACCAAAAGAACTTAGCTGGGGGGTCAAGGCCAGTGTTGTCTTTTTCCCTGATAGTGGTATGTCACTGATATAATTTACCCAGACAGAGGTATTTCACTCTATCTGCTGCAGTTCTTACCACTAACCATAAACCCTTAGAAAGGCTTACCGAGCAGTCAGGGCAAGGTACAAGGATAGGAAACAGGAGAAACTTGAAACTGAGCCCTTCTCTAAAGAGGCTGGGAGAAAGGAGGCCTGGGCTGAAGAAGGAAAGTCCATCAGAGAGCTGACTATGGGCCACAGAAGAGCTGACAGGAGACCCAACACCCAGACAGATACACTGGTGGGAACAGCATGGAACAGCATGATTTACAGGTGCCTCACAAAAAGGACAGCACATGTCTTCCACATGGTTCAGATGTACTACTGTGATTTACCAGGAAACACCAAACAAAATATCCTGATCACACATCCCAGGAAACAGCCAGACTGAGGAAGAGTTGGAACATGCACATAGGACAGACACATAAGGCTTAGACAAAAGTCAATACTCAAACCAGCACAAGCATGGAAGATGTACAGACAGACACAGAGACACAAGTATGACGTGATATGTATCTGGAGGGGACCCAAGCAAAATGGATGAGGAGCTAGGCAAGTACACAGGAATGACATGGCCAAGAAGTCTCAGAAACTAGCACAAACAGGTCGAGAACATGCAAAGTACACAAAGGCAAAGACCTAGGCTAAGTAGCTTACCAGTGAAGGGCTGGCTTGGCAGCTGGTTGAGAGTCCGCAAAGGGCTGCTGAGGAAGGGGCCAGGGGGCTCAGGGGGACAGGTGAAGCTCTCGTAGGCCTCCTCCTCCTCAAGAGGTAGTGAAGGCTCTAGAGGGGGCTCAGAGCCAGCACCCCCATTGCTCAATGCCACCTCAAGCTCCCGAAGCTCCTGCCCAAAGCCCTCTAGTCCTGCCATGCCCTCAGACGTGTCCTCAAGTGGTTCCCCAGCTCCCTCCTTTGGCACCCGACGAACCTTCTTGGCCCCCTCAGGCCATGGTCCTGGCAGCCCATTGAGCTGGGAAGGGGGCAGGTGGCCAAGGCTTCCCCGTGCACCCCCAGCCAGCCCCCCACTCCCCAGCTCTTCCTCCTCCCCTTCCCCCACATTGTCCCTGCCCTCCTCGGGCAGTAGGCTGCGCTTCTTAGTCCGGGAGCCAACAGGACTGGGCTCAGGAGGGGGCCGCTCGCCGTCATAGGGGGCAGACCAGGTACGGCAGGCCTGGACACAGCGGTCCACACCACGGCGCGCCTCACGCAGGTACTCCAGGTAATTGTCTTCCAGCTCACCAGGCTCCTCCACAGGGCTGGGCCGGCGGCCAGGGCTGGAGGCTGGGGACGTGGCAAGCCCTGGTGAGCGAGGGGCTGGGGCTGGGGACTCGGAGCCACCCAAGCTCTGCTGTCGCAGGAAGAGGGCTAGACGAGACGGTGTGGAGGGCCGGGGTACCGTCACCACAGAAGAGGAATCAACACTTGGGCTTCCAGGGCCTGCTGAGGGGAAAGAACATAAGAGGGATCAAAGAGACAGAGGTGCGGGAGGAGGGATGAGACACCATGGGTAACTACACGAGACAGCAACAAAGCAGCAGAAATGTGACTGGCTCGGACAGCTGACTCTCCACCACTCAAATTAAGCTTTTCCTCATTCAACAGCCCCCTCACCACCATCACCGCGAAAACAACAGAAACAGAAGAGCGTGACCAGACTGAAGAAAAGGAACAGCTTTGCTCAGAAGCTAAACTTCTCCGGTAGAGTTAATGATCCACCCTCCAACACCTCTCATCAACTTCCCTAAAGATGGAATGCCACTCACGGCCACCTCCCTCCTTTCACCCTGGCCCCGCCTTCTTGCTATGCTCCCCCAGGACCCAGGCCATACCCGTTGTGTCCTCCCTTCTCCCTGCCTCTCTGCTAGGCCCACCTCGTGCCCACGAGGCATGCTCTGGACGAGGTGGGCTGGAGGCACGGTGCCGACAACAGCGTGGGATTAGGGAGAGAAACTTGTCTGCGGCTCGTCCATATAGGTCCACATCACGCACAGCTGGCTTCTGGCTCAGCATCACATGGTTACACGGGACAAGATACCTGGGAAACACAGCAGAAAAGGAAGGATAGATCAGGAAGGAAGGACAGGGTTTGAGAGAACATCAGTGGAACTACAGGGCTAAGCTAGGTTTCAAGAGGACATGCACAATCAACCCCAATGCAACCCATCACCCCAGCAGTGCTCAAGGCAGAGAGAGCCATGAAGGTTCAGGATCAGCCATCCCTCAGCCCTGCCCCAACAGGTACCTGAGAACCAGCTGCAGCAGGACATCCTCACAGCTGAGGTTCAGAAGGGTCCTGAAGAGACTCAAAGACACCATGCAGAGCTGGGGGGGGGCGGGGAAGATGAGTCACTGTAAGAGCTCTCAGCCCTCTAGGATGTTTAACAAATGGGAACCGCCCCCCACAACCTAAGGCCCAACCAACCACTCTTAAAACAACAATGGCACAGGGCCTGGCATATAACAATCATTCAAATATTAAATAAATGATTACACTACCTTTTGTGTTCAAGACTTCATTATTTACAGACAGGAACAAACCGTGTGCCAGATTTAATGCATTTCTATAGACCACATGCATGTCATCAAACTCTGGCTATATATACCTGGCAACAGAGATTCTAGCAACACTTAAATGGAAGGAATACCTATGAAGAGACCCCAGGAAATACTGGGACTGAGTGAATGTCTAACAGGAAACAACAAAAAATGATAACTATACACCATGGAATATTACTCAGCCATTACAAAGAATTCATTTGAATCAGTTCTAATGAGATGGATGAAACTGGAGCCCATTATACAGAGCAAAGTAAGCCAGAAAGATAAAGACCATTACAGTATACTAACACATATATATGGAATTTAGAAAGATGGTAACGATAACCCTATATGCAAAACAGAAAAAGAGACTCTGATGTATAGAACAGACTTGTGGACTCTGGGAGAAGGCGTGGGATGTTTCAAGAGAACAGCATCGAAACACGTATATTATCTAGGGTGAAACAGATCACCAGCCCAGGTTGGGTGCATGAGACAAGTGCTCGGGCCTGGTGCACTGGGAAGACCCAGAGGGATCGGGTGGAGAGGGAGGTGGGAGGGGGGACCGGGATGGGGAATACATGTAAATCCATGGCTAATTCATTTCAATGTATGACAAAAACCACTGCAATGATGTAAAGTAATTAGCCTCCAACTAATAAAAATAAATGAAAAAAAAAAAAATGATAACTAAGTGAATGCCAGTCAGCAGACTGTAGCAGCATAGTAACTGAATGCCTACCAGCAAGAAACCAGAGGGAACCTGGAAGAATCCCAGCTAGGAAGTAGGTGGGGCTGTGAACATGGAGTGTGAGTCACCTCTCCAACACCAGTGTCTCTCGGAGAAGGTAGGATAAAGAAAAGTTCAAAGGCAGTTGACGGGAAAAGGAAAAAACAGGTGGGTCCAGAACAAGGGAAATCTTTTGTTTCAGAAAAGTAATAAGGGTGGTTCACCTCCAGCTAGGCAAAAACAGCAGACACAAGTAAGTTCTCCCTCACTCCTCTGAATCCCCAAGTGCTGTCTCTATACTTTCCTTATGACAGGTATACCTTGAGCTCCTCGAAGACAAATACTGGGTCTTAGTCTAGGGCACTACCTCCACAGTCTAGGTGTTCATCATTTACCAAACGACTGAGGGGAAATTAAAAGCCAGTCATGGTGGGAAAGAGATAAGATAGCAGTTCACATTTTAGTCAGCATGGATATTTATCCTAAATGACCATCTTAACTAGCACTCAGACTCATTAAAACATGAGTTTTAATGTTTTAATGAAAACACTGAGACTCATTAAAGATTGTGTGGTAGGTAGAAAAATGGTCCCTCAAAGATGTACAGATCCTAATCTCCAGATCTTGTACCTTTTTACCTTACATGGCAGAAGGGACTTTGCAGGCATGATTAAGGTTATTAAGGAATTTAAGTTGAGGAGAGTAGCCTGGATTATCCAGAGGGGCCCAGTTAAATCACACGAGTCTTTAAAAGCAAATAATATTTTCTAGTTGGGTCAAAAAGAGATTTGAACCATGAGAGGGACTCCATCCACCACTGATGGTTTTGAAAGTGTAAGGAGTCACAAATCAAGGATTTAGCTGGTCTCTAGAAGCTGGGAATAGTTCCCAGCTGACAGCCAGCATGAAAATAGTAATCTCAGTCCTTTAACTACAATTAAGTAAACATGACCAAGGACTAAAATGATCAAGGAAATGGATTTTCTCCTGGGCCCTCCAGAAAAGATGCAGCCCCGTTGGCATTTTGATTTTAGTAGGGTAAGGTCAGTACCAGATACATGACCTACAGAATGGTAAGGTAATAAATTTGTGTTGTTTTAAGCCACTATGTTTGTGATAATTTGTTATGACAGCAATAGGAAACTAATACAGATACTCAGGTACTCAGACTAGCCAGCCATCACTATTCGCCTTAAGCCATGAAGTCAGACTATAGTGGTTACAAAGTCAAGCCAACAGAATCAAGCTAAAAGGGCCAAACAGAGGAAACGGAAAGCACCTGCATGTTTAACATGGGAATCCTGAAATCAGAGCAGATTTGGTTCCTCCAAGAGCAGACAGCCAAGAATAAACACCCAAAGACCACGAAAGGCTCCTGAAACCAGAGGACCAAATGCAATACTAACAGAAATATGTTGTAAAGACTAAAGACACTGAGGGAGAATCAAAGAAGTTAGGGTAAGATTAAGATAAAAACAAGATGAAGAGAGCCCAGCACAGGGAAAAAAAAAATCAACCCTAGGAAGGAAATCAACATTCTCAAAATATGAACAGGACACTCTATGAGGAGCAAATAGATTTAAGACAATGGTTGAACTTCAGCATAATTAGAAATAAAACTTTTTCAATATCTTTGTAAAATTAAAGCTTTGGCAACTATTTCCTACCGGTTTATGCCAAGAATTCTTAAGCTAAGGCATGTATCATACTTACATTTTGGAGTATTATAAAAGTTCACATGCCTTGGGCCTACTTCCAAAGACTGTAAGTCAAGAGACTTAAAGCAGAGCTTAGAATCTGTTGTAGTTATTGTCATTTTCAAATTTTAGGGTATACACTTGGTCAAATCAGAGACAGTCTAAAAACCTCACACATACCCTAACTTAGCTATTCAGGATAATGTCAAGTATACAAAACATAGCTATCCAGAAATCTTACCTACCTCAAACCCGACTACCAGGTAACTCAGTTAACTGGAACAACTTTCCAGAACCCTTAGTGATACAAGAACTTCTATTTCAAACACAAAGACTCAGAGAACTTCAATTATTTGTAATAAAAGGAGGACACAAAAATGGTGATAGAGCCAAAATAAATGCCATAAAGTGCATGGCTAAACAAATGCTTTATTTCCCCCAGAAAGACTGTAAGTCTTTATTACTTAGAAACAATTTACACCTATTTTATATATATTTCTATTGGTTAAAATCTAAACTTCTTACCATGGTCTATAAAGCCATGCATGATCTGAATCTTACCCACCTCTTCCTCCTTTCTCCCCCATGCTCACTACACCTCCAGTCACACTGGTCTTTTATCTCCTCAAATACATTTCATTTCCTCTTCCCCACTTGTGTCCTTTGCAAGCACTGCTCCCTCTGCCTAGACTGTTCTTCGCTTGCTCTTTAGTAGGCTAGCTCCCTCATGACCTTTAGGTCTCAGTTCAATGTCATCTCCTCTGAGAGGTTTTTTGATCACCCTACTGGCTTAGATGGTAAAGAATCCACCTGCCAACACATTTTCAAATTTTAATCCTGGGTTGGATCCCTGGGTCAGGAAGATCCCCTGGAAAAGGGAGTGACGACTCACTCCAGTATTCTTGCCTAGAGAATTTCAGGGAGACAGGGCCTGGCAGGCTATAGTCCATGGGGTCACAAAGACTTGGATACAACTGAGTGACTATCACTTTTACTCTCTGTTTTCTAAGCAGCCTTTTTTTTACAAAAATGACCTCAACTTTCAATTATTTCAGTTATGCGTTTGCTTATCTACCTCCTCTATGAAGGAAGCTCCATGAAGTCAGCAACCACTGCTTACCATTATATCCTCAGTACCAGAGAACAATACAGTGAACACTGAACATTCAATCAAAATGTTCAGGAAGAAGGAATGTAACTAGGCAGGTGGGCAGATGGGTGCCCCAAGTTACAGCAGTTCAAGTGCAGCAAATCCAAAAGGAAGAAGAGGTGAACACACTAGTTACAAAGCAGGCTCAAAGCCTGAAGAGGTGACCTCGAGTCACCCACAAGCCACAGAGCACTACATAGCTGAGGAGAATTTCAAGTCAAGCCATATTACAAGTGCTGCAAACTGGCAAAACCTACAGCCATGAGTGGCCAAAGTCATTCAGAAAATATAACTGTCCTATGTAGATCCAGATATTACAAAAGCAGGGAAGCACATTGAAAATGTCCCCAAAACAGTTAAAAGTTTAATACTAGAAAGAAAATGCCACCTAGCTTTGAAGTGATTACTGGAGACAAAGGCCAAAGAAGGGCAGAAACACCCTCCCAGAACAAAGGTTGGAGAGAGGAGATGGCTCACCCAGGTAAGCCAGGACAGAGGTAGGGGCCATACCCGGGAGTTGCTGCCAATACGGGCAACAAGGGTGTCAAGGATGGTGTGGGTGTCATGCCGGTGTAACAGCAGGAATCGCAGGAAGGTACGGAGCAAGGCAGGCTCTGAAATACTCCGTAGGAAAAGTTCCAGATAGGCGGTACTGGCGATCATCTCCTCCACAGAGGTCTGAACGAAGGGAAGGGAAAGTTTGGAAATTTAGGGCTTCCCCACACATATACAAAGCCATTTTCCCTAAGTTCTAAGGGGGTACCAGGAACAGACAGGGAAAAAGGGAGGAGTACCCTGCCCACTGCCACCCACACTGGTCCTGGCATTGAGGTAACCACTCCTCAGCCTAACCTCTTCATCTGCCTTGCCACCCATGACTCTCACCTTGTGCAGGGCAGGGCCCATGACTGGCACCAGGAACCCATTATGGATATAATCAACCAGCTGCTTTTGCACCAGAGGATGAGCTACCTGTATGGGTACAAAAGAGAGGATGGAGCATTTTGAAGGGGGCTACTGCCAGGAAGAGAGCAAAATGTTAGAACACATATATGTCCCCTCCCCTCAAGCTGAAAGAAAATCAGAACTCCAGAGAATGCACCTTCTCCCACCCCATTACCCCAGAATGACCAAGGGCCAGAGCTCCTGGGAACCCCAGTCCCACCTGAATGACTGCATTGCAGAACTCTAGGGAACTCATGAAGAGTGCAAGGGCTGGCACTCCGAGCCAGTCCTCCCGTCGCAGGCAGTGCCAATCATCCCCTGGAACTTCAATCTTTCGGGGCAGTGATGAGTACAGGGCACTCAGCCCTGTGGCCAGCACCTGGGGGCCATCCCCAAGGACAGGTTACCAAAGGCACAGACAATATAAAAAATGGAAACAGGGAACTATTAACCCAGAGTTTTTATGGGAATAGGGATAAAAGCTATTACCAGAGCAGATATTTAGTTACCCAAGGTGCCAAGACATTACCTGGGCACACTGGCCCATGAAAAGCCTTCATACCTGCCTTATCCACGTGAGCCCAAGTTTCATCCCCACCCCAATTCCAGGTGTTGCATTCAAACCCAGAGGGCTACGTGCTGAAGGAGAGGGCCCCAGGGCACAGCCCCTCCACACCCCCTACACAGGAAGGCACCGACACCACACCCCACGCCCATCCCCGGAGGTGCTGACCGGGCAGAAGTAAGAGTGGTCTGCGATGTAGCGGCCCACTGTGGGACTTCCGGCTGAGAGCGCCATGAGCAGCAGCAGGGCGTCGCGGGCCTGCTGGCCCAGGCTGCCCTCTCGATGGACAAAAGGGACAAGGCGAGAAAAGAGGAGAAGACGGGGAGCAGCTCCAGGTTCAGAAGGTGGCTGCAGGAAGAACTCGAGCAGTGAAGGCTCCCGGGCCAGACACACGCACAGCTGGCTGAGAAGTAGCACCAGGCCTTCATCCAGTGCTGGACTACTGGGCACAGGGCGGCCACAGGCATCCAGCAAGATCAGTAGAGCCTCACGAACTGGACCATGCCGCAACAGGGGCTGGCGAGCTTCGCTCACTAGCATTTCAAAGAGTTTCAGTTGCTCAGCCCGCCGTTCCTCAACCCCATCCCCAAGCTCATCCCATTGAAGCTGCCATGTCAACACACGGGTTAGCAGATCCTCACGCAGAGCAAACTCAAGCAGGGGCCCAGGAGCTGTGGGGACGGAGGACACTGTGCGATCCTCTGCCAGGAGTGTCAGCATCTGGTAAGTGTGGTTGCGCACAGCACTGAGATCATCAGCACCCCCAGGAGCTGCCCGAGGGCCTTGCCGTTCCAGGATTCGCACCACCTGGGGAATCCGGACAGAAAAGAGAAGGAAACCAAGATAAGGTGACAAGATGACAAGGTGAAAGAACACAGAAATTTAGAGGGATTCAGGCAGCTAGCAGACTGGGCCCCTGGGCATACAGTCTCCTACCTGGGACCAGTGATTCTTGAAGACCATGAGGCAGGTCTCAGGGTCAGCCATGACAGGGGTCTGCAGACTGGCCCCTTGTGGTACACGGTGCCCAGGGCCCCGGGAGGCCAGTCTGCTCAACCAGTTCATCCTCTCCATGAGGCAGGCTGGGCCGGGCCGGCGGCCAGAGAGTCACACTCTGAGAACTCGCCAGCTGGAGGCCTTCTCCACTTGTGTCTCTCGTCTGCTTCATCCGGTCTGCAGGAGCCAACAGCTGCCCATGGAGCCAGAAGATGCACCAGGCTGGAACAGTGAGCCCAGAGGTCACTGCCCAATCCAGACCCACAAATCTAATTCAAAGAGAAAGAATAGAGAGGTTAACAAAAGTTTGCCTCTTTCTACCACCCACCAGGAAGAACCCAGAACCACCACCCCACTGAAAACCACACATGCAATCAGCACCTTAAATTCAACACGTGTAAAACAGAACTCATCCCAACACCAAACCTGTGTTACTTCCCCAGCCTTCTCCACCTTAATAAATGATGCAATATTCACCTACTTGCTCAGGTCAGACACCTGGGCATCATCCTTCTTTCTTCGTGTTATTACCTCCAATATCCAGTTCATCAGCCTATAATCTATACCCTCCAAATATGTCTCACTATTGCAATAGCTTCCAATCTGGTCTTCATGCCTCCAGTCTTACCCCTCTGAGAATCTATTCCCCACACAGCAACCAGAGTTTTAAAATATAAATTATACTACATCTCTCCTCTGCTGAAAACCCTCTAATAATTCCCTATCACACTGGTAATAATCCAAGTCCTTTACCTTGGCCTCTAGGGCACTATCTAATCTAATCTGTATAACTTCCTACGTGCCCCTTCTCACTCATACTTCACTCATAGGAGACATTCTTGAACACTAGCTCTTTCCTCTGTCTAGAATGCACTTTTCCTGATCTTCACATTGCTCACATCACTCGGTTCTTTCCAAATGCCATTTCCTCAAAGAGAACTTACTTAACAATTCTATCAAAACTGCATTTTCCCACCTTCACTTTCTAGCTTTCTAATCCTCCTTTCTTCTGCATAATTTTTTTATTTTCTGAAAATATTTATTTGCCTATTCATTTATCTATCTTCCCTAGTACAACGTAAGCTCACTGAGGACAAGGTTTCTCTGTTGCATCCCCAGTACCTAGAGATCAATAAATTATTTGCTGAATGTATAGATGCTCAAGTGAATGAATGAACGAACAAACAATGAACAATCAGGAAATCCAGTCTAGATCTGACGCTAGCCCTCTGGGACTTCTGAGGAAGAAACATTTTTCTGTTACAGGTCCCTCCCTAGAAGCCCACCCAATAGGAAATACACAAACAGATCTTTAACTTGCTGAATAATCTTAAGAGGTAGAAATTCAGAACCAATCAAAAAAGCAAAAGAATTTTCATTCTAGAAAAAAATACAAGGATACACTCCCATAAACACATATATACCCACTCCTGTCAGATGCATTCAACATTCACTCCTGGGGACATGACACAACACCCTCATTAGAGAAAGAGTTGTTGTTCAGTCACTAAGTCGTGTCTGACTCTTTGTAACCCCAGGGACTGCAGCATGCCACACTTCCCTGTTCTTCACTATTTCCCAAAGTTTGCTCAAACTCAAGTCCACTGAGTTGGTGATGCCATCCAACTATCTCATCCTCTGCCACCACATCCATACAAGACTACTGAAAAAACCATAGCTTTGACAAGAAAAACCTTTGTTGGCAAAGTAATGTCTCTGTTTCTTAATATGCTGTCTAGGTTGGTCACAGTTTTCCTTCCAAGGAGCAAGCATCTTTTAATTTTGTGACTGCAGTGACTGTCTGCAGTGATTTTGGAGTCCAAGAATATAAAATCTGCCATTGCTTCCACTTTCTCACCATCTATTTGCCATGAAGTGATGGGACTGAATACCTTAATCTTAGTTTTTTGAATGTTGAGTTCTAAGCCAGCTTTTTCACTCTCCTCTTTCACTCTTATCAAAAGGCTCTTTAGTTCCTGCTCACTTTCTGCCATTAGAGTGGAATCATCTGCATATCTGAGGTTGTTGATATTCCCCCCAGCAGTTTTGATTCCAGCTTGTGATTCATCCAGCCCAGGATTCTGTATGATATACTCCGCATACATAAGTTAAATAAGCAGGGTAACAATATACAGTCTTGACATACTCCTTTCCCATTTTTGAACAAGGCCATTGTTCCATGTCCGGTTCTAACTGTTGCTTCTTGACCTGCATACAAGTGTCTCAGGAGGCAGGTAAGGTGGTCTGGTATTCTCATCTCTTGAAGAATTTTCCAGTTTGTTGTGATCCACACTGTAAAAGGCTTCAGCATAGTCAATGAAGCAGAAGTAGACATTTTTCTGGAATTCCCTTGCTTTTTCTAAGATCCAACAGATGTTCACAATTTGATCTTTGGTTTCTCTGCCTTATCTAAATCCAGCTTAAACATCTGAAGTTCTCGGTTCACGTACTGTTGAAGTCTAGCTTGAAGGATTTTGAGCATTACTTTGCTAGCAGGTGAAATGAGTATAGTATATGGGAGTTTGAATTTGCCTCTCTTTGGGATTGGAATGAAAACTGACCTTTTCCAGTCCTGTGGCCACTGCCCGAGTTTTTCAAATCTGCTGGCATACTGAGTGCAACACTTTAACTGCATCATCTTTCAGGATTTTAAATAGCTCAGCTGGAACTCCATCACTTCCACTAGCTTTGTTCGTAGTAATGCTTCCTAAGGTCTACTTGACTTCACACTCCAGGATGTCTGGCTCTAGGTGAGTGACCATACCATCGTGGTAAACATCTGTTGGCCTCAGCCATGGCTCACAGTTCCTTCTTCATCACATCTACCACCCTCTCAGCAGTAATGGCTCTCAACAATACCTCCCAAGTATAAAAACTTCCGAGGAAAAAAAAACAACTTCAGAGGAAAGGTGTGGTTCAATCATCCTTCCTCTTTATACTCAACAAGGTCTAAAGGAACCCAGAGACCTGCCAACAGACCCACACTTTGCCCTCCAGTTATATTAACCACCATCTCCTTCTACCCAGATACACAGTCTCTCACCACTATCTGCTCACAACTAAAAGGCAGCAATTCTGCTTGCTTAAGGGAACTTTCTTGAGAAGAAAAGACAGTCTTTTTTTTTTCCAAAAGACACAATGGGAAGAGCCAGTCCTAAAGAGCAGGCAGGGCCCACTCATTGATTAATTCAGTGTACATCATACCAGTACTGGGGCACTGTGTTAAGCAAGCACTGGAAATACAAAGATGGATAAAAACAGTTGGGGGAGCAAAAAAAAAAACTTCAATAAATATTATAAAGAGGTATTTACAAAAATGTCATGAGGGCACTAAGGAAAAGAAACTAAATCTGCCTGGAAACTATAAGAGGATTCCAGAAAAGAGGTGATACCTGATGTAAAACTTTAACAAAGAGATATTGGTAACAAAGAGAGCAGAGCAAAAAGTCTTCTTCATATTAAAAACATTATTTACAAAAATACAGCACTGTGAAAGAACACAGTAAATTTAAAGAACAGTTGCACGTTTGGTGTGGCTTAAACACAGACTATTTAGAGAAGAGAGGACAATGTTAAGTTAAAAGGTAAACATGGGTGAAGGTTATAAATATCACTGAATATCATGCTGAGGAGTTTTATTTATGAACACCCTGGAATAAAGGAGCTTTTTAAACAAGAAAATGTTAAGATCAAATTGGCCTTTAAAAATATGTCAGCCTTTAAAAACATGTCAGCTAGCAGTACAAGGTAGAGTAGAGAGAGACCAATGGCAGTAGACAATTTATAAGAATCTGTTTCAATAGTCCATTTAAAAAAAGGATGGAATGAACTAAAGTGTAAGAGCAGAATTAGAAAAGGTAAATCTGAGATTCACCTCTATGTCCCACAGCATGTCCCATGTGATAATGAAAGTGTTTACACCTGTAATATCTCTGTCACTAATAGCAAGTTCCTTGACAAGAGAGACCATATCATTCATTGTTCTCTGAAATACCAATGCTAACATAGTAACTGCCATTCAAAAACATTTGTGGAACAAGATGCTGAATTTAAAACTTATAATAGCTAGCACATATTGAGCACTTACATGCTCCAGTCTCCATTCTAAGCACTGCATGCTATTGCTCATTTAAGCCTAATTAAAACCATAGATGTATTATTATCTCCATTTTACACACAAGGAAATCAAAGCCTAGAAATGTTAAATAGCCAAAGTTACCCAGTTAATTAGTGGCAAGAATGGGATGCAAATGCAGATAATCAGCCTGCAGATTTAACTTAACCATGAAGTAGAAGTAGTAAAGATATACCAAATGAATGGAGGATGACAGAAGACCCTAATATGAAGTGTAAGAGTCTCAGTAAAAGGTAATTCCACTAACAGACTAGGAACATGCAACAGAGGAACTGTGTTTTAGAAGAGAATCAGTACAGTTCTGGACATGTTAAGTTTTTAGACACCAAAAAGATATCCACGATGTTTAGAAAGCAAGTAGAAATTATACTCAAGCTCAGGAGTAAAATCACAACTAGAGCTATAAATCCAGGAGTCATCAGCTTATATGTAGTAGATGAAGCTAAGTAAGGGGATGGAATCATCCAAAGAGATCAGTAATCACAAAAGGAGCCAAGGGTCACATTCTGGGGAAAACCAGGATTTAAAAAAGGAAAGGAGGAGTCTTTTAAAAAGACTAGTGGAGGTAGCCAGAAATGGAAGGAGAAATCCTAGAAATAATCAAGAAATCAAGGAAAGGAAGTTTCAGGAAACTGGAGGTTGTCCATAGTGCACAGTCTACAGAGATAAAATAATGAAAACTAAAAACAGTCAGTTGATTTTAGCCGGTCAGATGGGGAGCCTCAAGGGCAGCTGTGAAGTGTGGAAAAGAAGCCTGAAGAAAGTAACAGGTTGTGGATAAATCAGAAGGGGATAACTGACCAAAAAAACAAGTATAGTACTAGTCTGAGAAAAACAAGTACAGCACTTTCTCCGAGAGGAAGAGAACAGTAAAAGCTAAAGCATGGGCGCCACTCCAGGTAAATCTGAAAACTGAGAGAGGAAAGTCAACATCTAATACCAA